GAACTGTTAATTGCAGCGCGCATACGGTCCTACGGCAGCCACGTGCTATAAATACTGCACTCCTGGTGCCACATTCACCTCTATCTGCGAATGTCTCTGAGGATGGATTCGAGAGAGAATCCGAAACGTCAGGCAAATAAACTTCTTGTCCCAGTGATCGCATCTTCATCTTCTAAAGCGAAAACCTTTTTTCAAACAAAAGGCAGTATTTATCCGGGCATAAATCTAAAAATGACGTGGTTTGCTACCGAATGAATAGAAGAGAGCCTACTTTGTACGTATTATCTATTACATATATTTGCATTCATAAGTTTACCAGAACCTCATGCGGAAAATGCATACTACATAAGTAGTTATTTTTTTTACCAAGTACAGTTTTATAGGAGGTTGCTAAGAAGTGCAATCAAAAGCTAACATCATGGCGAGTCCGGCGTAATATTGGGTTGTGCCGCAGCATAGTCAATATCACAACCTCACCTAAGTAATCCATCCTAATCGACAACGCACTTCAAAATTTCGGTCACGATTTCACGAGATCGATCACACACTGAAAACTACCGGAATGTCCATGAATAACTGAAGTACAGTTAGTGACCTATCTCATGAAATGTTGGCTGAAATTCTGAATTGCATTTTCGATTAGGAAGGATTACTTGGTCGCGGTTGTAATACTGACCATTTTGCGACACATTCTTATAGCATTTCGGACTTGGCAGGATATCGGCTTTTAAATGCACCTCTTTTCAATCTCCTGTAGAATGCGTGCTCTGTAAAAAATGACTACTTAAGCAGAATTCATTTTTCCCATTGATTTTCAATGGTCTTGCAAATTCAAACATATTTTATATAAACCATAAATAAAATATGCTTTCTTTTAATCAATCCATAGAGAATCACGTTTTCTTTATATTTTATACTTAAGAAAGTAGTATAATTAGGTTTTAAAAAAGTTTTCTAATTGCCGAATAATTTGGAGGCTGATCATTCGTTGCATTAGCGCTTAGTAATTTCAGTCTGCAAGGTGCATGCGTTCGGCGTAAAGAAAATTACAAATTTTTCTCTGCCAGTAAAGAGATATCATACAGAGTCCATAAAATTTTGCAATGGATGTGGACCTTGTTGTTCATTTCATAAGAAGCAGTTCTAAACGGCCAGGTACGATGCTATGTGAATTGACATTTCGCGGTCATAAAATGCCTCATAATCAGAAACTTTTTTAAAACCTTATCATACTCCTTTCTTTAGCATAAAATATAAAGAAGACATGATTCTCTATCGAATGACTAAAAGAAGGCATATTTTTGCTTATGCTTTCTATAAAATATGCTTGAATTTGCAAGACCATCGAAAATCAATGGGAAAAATTCATGCTACTTAAGTAGTCATTTTTTACCGAGCACGCTATCTACAGGAGATTGAAAAGAGGTGTATTTAAAAGCCGACGTCCTGCCAAGTCCGAAATATTATAAGAGTATGTCACAAGATAATCAGTATTACAACAGCGACCAAGTAATCCTTCCTAATCGAAAACGCATTTCAGAATTTCAGCCTACATGTCATGAGTTAGGTAACTCACTGTATTTTGCGCGACAATAAACTACGACAATGGCGATCTGTTCGCCCGAGATATCTGTACAGATAGCTGTGAAAGTCCAGAAACAGAAAACCAGTTTTGCCGAAATGCTCAACCCCAACGTGCCTATCGCCTATCAGTTCTAATCATCTACTCCAGCGGTGTTGTGTGGACGCAAAAGTTTTACGAATTACGGGGAATCCTCCGACCCTGTTGGAAACGTTTTTCGGCGCTAAAGTCCCACCCCCGGCCACCCCACCGCATCCCCTCTGCCGATACTAGGCCATTTTTCAGGCGTGAACGTTTATTTCAGATGAAAAAGTGGTAGCACCTTTGGCCATCAAATTGTCCGCATATACTCTGCCTTCGGCGCCAGTCAGGCTGGAAGCTATCTGCCAAACAAGTTCGAAGGGTTTCACCGTGCACCGAAGTCTATTCTGGCGGATTAGCTGTGAGGACAGTTTTGCAAAAAAACTGAAAACGTAGCTTTTCTGTTTTTCGTAAGTAGTTGTTTTTACTTAAAAACACTTGTTCTGTCCACCAGTCATAGCATAGCTATGCTGTTTTTCTTAGATTTTTGCTTGAAAAACACGTGCAATATCAAGTAGGCAGGGCCAGTGTACATCTGCTTGTCACAGTGAAAAGATCTCATGAACAGATGAAATGATTCCCATGCAGGAGGTAGAAGAACTCATGTCGGCTAAGGGTTAGGTAACTAACGTAAACAGACTGCCTTGTCTAGGCAGCAACAACATTGGACGGCGGACGAAAAAACAAAAAAATCGGCGTTAGAACTCGACGTAAAGCAAATATGACATTATTATAATAAACTCTCGTATTCATGCTATACTGGGCATTTGGGAGGACTCATTCAGTTATTTTATACTGGTCCCAGAAATGGTTAGGTTCTCTAACCGACGACTTGAAGGCAGAGATATGTGCTGAATAGCGGAGGTGGCATTCATTCCGAGATGATATAATAAAGATAGAGGCACTTTCTACGAGCCACAGAAGCTGTGAGAGCTCAGTAAAACCTACTGGTTAGGTCCTCTACCCGAAGAGCGGAGGTAGTATGCAGGTGCGTATGCCGAAATCACAATGGGTGACCGATCTCATGAAATTTTGACCGAAATTCTGAAACGCGTTTTTGTTTGGGAATGATTGTTTAAGTGCGGTTGGAATACTGAAAATCCTGCGGCATACTCCTGTGGTATTTATGACTAGCGAGGATGTTGGCCTCTGAATGCGCTTCTTTTCGACCTCCTGTAGAAACCGCACACGGTCAAAAATGACCACTTGTGTACCGTGACATTTTCACGTTGACTTACGATGGTCTTGTAAATTCAAATATATTTTATAGAAATCACGCACAAAAGCATGCATCTTCTTACTCGCTTGGTAGAAAATCCCACTGTCTTCAAATTTTATACTCAAAGGAAGGGTATATTTCGGTTTTAAAAAATTCTAGCTATGAAATATTTTAAGACCATGCAATGTTCATTCATGCAGCATCGTAACCGACCGTTTACCAGTGCTCCTCATAGAATGTACAACATAGCCCTCATTAGATTGCAAAATTTTACAAACACTATGTGCTATCTTTTTAAAGGCATAGAAAAACATATCATTTTCCTTACGCGGAAAGCATGCATTTTGCATACTGAAATTGTTAAACGCTGCTGAAACGGCTGATCAAGCTCAAATTTATTCGGGAATTGAAAAACTTTCGTCAAACCAAAACATACCCTTACTTCGAGTATAAAATGTAAAGACAATGTGATTTCCTACCAAACGAGCTAAAGAAAACATATTTTTGTGCATTTTTGCTGTAAAATATATTTGAATTAATAACACCATCTAAAATTAGCAGGAAAAATGCATTCTACTTAAGTAGTCATTTTTCGCCGAGTGTGGTTTCTGCAGGAGGTGAAAAAGAAGTGCATTCAAAAGCCAGCATCCTCGCTAGTCAGAACTGTTATAGGATTATACCGCATGATAATCAGTGTCACAACCCCACTAAAATAATCCCACTAAAATAACCCCACTAAAATAATCGGGGAGAGGGAGGGATGCGGAATCCGTGGTATCCTACATGACCGAACACGGACTAGCAGCTGGGCGGGCGCAAGTCAGTGATCTGTGAACGCAAACCATCGTAGTCAGCGTCCAGGTCGACATGGCAGTTGATGCTGTTGTTGTTAGAATGCCCGTTTAGTTCGGGTGAAAGTGCATGGTGATTAATATAACAATCTTGATTAAGCAATCTTTCCGAGTTAAAACCACATTTCGGAGTCTCGGTCAACATTTCATCTTCTGTATGTTTTTCCTTCGGTATGCAGTCCAGCCAGAAACACATGTCACCGCAATAGTTTATCACATGTTGCTTGATAAAACCGCAGCCCAGCTCTTTCCTGTTTCATATTGACCCAACTTTGAAAAACTCGGCGCCTCGGTGGGATTCGAACCACGCAGTAAGGGGAAGGCTTTAGCGCAGCCAACGCTCTAACCACCTGAGCTACGAGGCCCCCTGTTTCCTGTTTCACACCATGAGCAGACCGAATAATCACGTAATGCAGACGTTTTATGGTAGTAAAGCGCAGCTACTGTAGGGTATCGGCTTTATAACATCACCGATCTCGGTTTCAGAGATCAAACAGTTGCACTAAAGTCCCTGCAAGAAGGCAACCTCAGAGGATTACTCGTTATAATTTGACAAGTTTACTGGATATGCCTGTTCGGTTGTGGCTTGGGGCTGAAACTGGAGCCCTCCCCCCTATGGTGTCTAGTAATCTATACGC